CGGAAATGTACAACCCCACATCCGGTCTCAAACCAGGAAGTTAGCATTTTCTCGTGCACAGGGTCAATTGTTGGTGTGTCTTCTTTTAATGACACAGGCAGCTGTTAGGTAACTGGAGTCCATGATTTGAACCTCTGCACTGTGTTTGTGCTGTTTTAATGCAATTATCTGACCACATTATCGCTTAATGTTTGTTTTTAATGCTACTTGATTATGTTACTGTTAAAGTGAATTTGATGATAATGTAGATGTAGTAGATTTGCAGAGTGGATTTATCACTGAGCGTGGCCTGTGTTAACTCTAAAGGGTCGATAAAACTGGGCACACAGGATAAAGAAATCAAACGTACCTGTTGGGGGTGGCACTGGGTGGATACTCTGCACGGCACTTTGGGCTGAGGGGAGACAATCAGACACATTAACTGATGATTATTTCCTTACAACCGACCAATTAAATAACAAATGTCTGCCTGATGAAACATTAGAAAACACGACTCCATTATACAGACAAGTTTAGTAAACAGAAACCACAAAGAGGAAAACCAAAAAAACAACTATTTCCAACAATCGATTTTAAACACAAAAGTAACACAGAACTTTCCTCTGGTTAGACAGCGATTTATCAGTGTGATTTTACCAGCTTATCAGTAATTAGTTCCATTTAAAATGATGTAATTGTGCTGAAGATTCACCCTCATGCCAAATAATATTTAACCCTCGCCCGTGTTTATGGATTTATCACGTTGGGCTATAGTCGTAGTGGAAGCTTTTGTTCCTCACCAGGGCCACGGGTGCTGCTTCTGACCAAAGTCTTCATCAGTGACTGAGGAGACGAGGAAGACCGAGTCTTTGGCCCACTTCTGGATGCAGGGCAGGTGGAAGAGGGAGAAACAGCTGGAGCAGCTCCACACCTGGACGCACACAGACAGATATCAGAGTTCAGTCTCCCTCTCTGGTCCTTTTAATATTCATAAGACTTTAAAACAAACTGTGTAAAGAGCACATCACATTACAGCCAATCACACAACTTCACAGGTTTGTAGAAACACTGGAAAACGTCACTACAGCTGAGACTCATGGGTAATGTAGTATTATCTACTAGTAGTGGTTGACTAGAGGAGAAGTGATGAAAGCGAACAGTCTCCAGGGTCAAAAGTAGTTCACTAACTTTTACACAGAAACATCTTGAAGTGACCAAAATGACCCCAGACACCTCTCCAACTATTTACTTTTAATTTACCTTTTACATAAATACAATCAAGAAGTAAAAACTAAAGAGAAAAGGACAAGATGGAACAATTCTTTTTAAAAAGCACAAAAACCTGAGAACTTCTGACTTTCTGTGAGATCTGCTTCTATGAATGTGACAAAAGGAGAAAATCTGCCTCAAGCTGTCGTTAAATGTTCTTCAGGAACCAGAGAGGTGACGTCAGATCAGTGAAATCAACACACAGTGAGGTCAAAGTGTGTGTGCACGCGTCTCACCGCCTGTGTCCTCTTCACCGAGGCGATGCAGATCAGACAGGTGAGCGCTCCGGACTGAAACAGGTCGCTGACGTACTGACCGGTCCTCTGCAGGCCAGTGGCATCCCCACCTACACACACACACACACAGGGAGTGAGCGGGAATACCACAACATCTGCGCAGCTTCATATCAGGCTCACCTTACTGTCTTCAAACATCTGCACACCCGGTAAAAAAAAGGTGTGGTCAAATTTAACCATTTGACCATTTGATCTTCACAGCGGTGTTGCCACGGCAATGCCTGGCTGCTCACCTGTCTGGTCGGTGTAGGTGGTGAAGGCGGACGCCAGGATCTTCCCTCTCTTTCCTTCCTTGTGGTCTCCATCATCGATGCTGTTGTCGTCGTCTTCATCAGAGGAGGAGGAGCTGAAGTGGCTCTCGACCAATCGCTGAGCAGCAGCCTGGTTGGATTTCCTGATCTCCTCAAACTTGGATTGGACAGCCAAACCTGAGGACCGCAGGGAAGAATTAATAAACTCACACCAGCCGATAGGGGGAGTTGGTTCATGGAGTGTTTCATCACCGTGCGGCGGTTCAGGCGCAGAGCCCGTCTTCGTCCTGACTCCTCTTCCCGTAGCAGTGCCTGGCCTCTCTCTCTCCTTCTGCAGGGGTCGTGACCTTTCAACCTGAGCCTCCTGACTCCGGCCTCGCCCGCGGCCCTGCTGTCGCCAGGCGGGCTCCATGGCAACTGCCTCTCTGCCTCTACAGAGAGCAACATATGTGAGAAATGATTGAAGGAAGGATTTACACACATAAGTTTGCTCTACGCAAGTTTACCCGCAATGCACCTTCTGAGATTTTCTCAGTACTACAACTCAGCCTCCACCAGGATTTACTCTGAGGGTGCAAATACTGGATGGCTTCATCAAATCCTCAAAAGTTATTTTTTGGACACAAACAATGGCTCAGGTGAGAACTTTTCACCAATCTGACTGACTTTGTATGGATGCAGCAGCATAGGAGTTTCCTCTGTAGCATCAAACACGTTATAACCAGCAGACACACACCAATACTCCAACTGAATGCATTTTATCAAGGATACATCAACAAGCTTAGAAAACGAGTAGAAAATCCAATGAAAACACTGCAGCAGTGAAAACACTGCAGCAGTAAAAACACAGACGTCCTGAGGTCTCTGGTGTAGACATAGAATGAGAGCATTGATATATGTACAATTTTAAACTATTACAGTACTTTTGGCCTTGCATGCATTTAACCAGTTATCACCTCTCTCAGGAACTTTAAGTGTTCAGCTTTGAGCCCGACGTCTGCAGATGTTGCCACTCATTCATGTTTATGTGTCTCTGCAGCAGCAGCGTGCCTTTGTTAGTGGATTTAATGCTGCAGAGGTAAATTAGCATATTTTTGGCTGGACCCTGGTTTGCGCCTTAGGGCACGTTTCCACGCAGCAGAGGGGTTTTATACGTGATTCGGAGCTGCCTCAGCCTCACCGGGGACTCTGCGCAGCCTCAGCTCTCTCTCCTCAGGTGCTCACAGCTGCCTGACACCTTCACCTGACACCTGGCTGGGTCTTTAGCGGTTACCTGACTGCCCCAGCTGTCCCGCTGAGTCACAGCGACACGAAGCCGGACTGTGTCTCTCTCCGCCCGTGCACCTGAGCACGTACACAGCAACACCTTTACACCGCGCGCGCTCACGTTAAAGGCCAAATTCACTTCAAAAGTGCTGCTAGCCGGCTAGCTGCAGCAACCCAACTGCCATTCAAACTCCAAGAAAAACCAGGCGGAAACAAGCGTCACTTCCGGTAAACAACATTCACCAAACTCTAATTATCCACAGAAGCTTCCGGAATGTTGATATTTAACTCCAAAGACAATCAGAAAACCTCATTTAATGAGCAGTTATGAGCTAAACACACCTCAACACTCAGCACAGTGGAGTCAGGTGCCTGATTGTCATGCGTAGTGCAACGCGGTGCATGCCGGTTCTTGTAGTTCTCACAACCAAACTACGTCTGTTTAGCGATTTATCCAGGAGTAAAACTACATATCCCACAACCTCACACACACGCACACGTGTACGCAAACGCACACACATACGTGTCACTGCACAGCTTCAACTTTACTTACTTTTTGTTTTTTGGTTGTTAATTTATTTCGATCATGTAAACAATATAAAAAGCTCATTTAGGGCCAGGGTCTTAGATCAATAATACAAAAATGTGATCAACAAATAAAACTTTATCGATCCCGTGCTCTGCGGGATCATACAGCACATTTACCCACATCAGTTACCATCTGACCTCATCAACATTTCTATGTACTTTTAATCAACAATAATAATAATAATAAGGAGAAGAAGAAGAATGCACTGGAAATGAAACAAGCCATTCTGATTTTCTTATAAAATATCTTTATTTCAGCATTTTGCTTCCAGATTCAACATAATTATCATTCATATTTTTTGCATAGTTTAAAAAGCACAAGTCGCAGCATAAAAAAGGTTATTCAGGTGTGCAGCAGCTAACCAGACTGTATATGTAAAGATGGATGCAGCTGCCCAGTATGAAAAATGATGCAACGCTTAAGTGATAAACCTGCATTCTTTCTAATAGCCAGCAGGGGGCAACTCCTATAGTCTGATTGTGTGGCGCCTACTTCCCACTCTGACCTGAGTAAACATGCTCCCAGTGTGTTTATGGGGGGAGCTGATACTTTGAAGTCTTAATGAATAAAAAATATTTATTTAGTAAATGATAGTACTTATTACAGTCAGAAAGGGTAGAAAACAGCAAAGTCTGAGGCTTCACAAACCAATATGTATTACCATTTCTGTTATGTACACATTTAATAATGTTGGGTTTTTCCCTGGGACAAACTGGGCTGATCTTCAAATCATGTGTACCCCACCCCAAATTCACCTTAAAGCTTTAAATCCCTTTCTCATGTGATAGCCACTGCTTTAGTTGAACTGTAAATGACCAAATATTAGGTGCAATTTAAATCCCATGTTTGTTTTTAAATCATCTCTTAAAAAATGTTTTTGTAATTACAAAATTGAACATTGCAGTTCTTTCAAGGGTCACTGGGAGGCCCCACGTCGCACTTTAGGAGTCACTGCTGCAAAGCAAAAGCTTGAACTATGAACAACCTCTGTAACATCCAGAAAAGTTACTGCTCATTATTTATATACATTACAGTTACAATGTTTTACAACTTAAAAATGGAAACAGTACTACATGGTGTCACATTAGTTTCTTTTGAGGCCTAGTTGTCCTTCTTGTGCTCTCTGAGTGTAATCTGGAGTCAGCTCCCCTCCTCAGTCTACTTCCAGTTGTAAGTGCTGACATCACAAATCCAGCAGGTGGTTGATACTTTACGAAGACAAGTTTATCTCTAGAAGATGTCATGTGAAGTGATGTGACATAAATCTGAATGCAAGAAACAGATTTTGTCCTCTTTTTTCCAATTTGTCTTCAAAACTTTAACAGAAACTCCTCCAAATTTCCACCTGAGGTTCAAACATCTTGATCTCCACCCATCGAGCTGACTCAAGCTCTAAAATCGAACACTCCAGTCCTCTTCTTTGTTGTCTTCTCCTTACTTCTCCTCTTATTTGGTGGCCTCTATCTCAGGTGTTGGGGGTGGAGCTTCACCTGACGGATCAGCTTGTGGGGGCACCAACTTCTTCTCCAGCCGGGTGACTCTGTGTTTGAGCTTGCTGTGAGTGGCTTCGTGCTCGGCCAGCAGCCGGGCGTAACGGGTCTGCAGGGAGTCCAGGGTGCTCGTCATCCGGTCCACCTTCTCCTCGATCTCTTTGGGGTCTGGGCCCTGCGCTGCCACCTGGAGGACAGAGTTAGTTTTAATGAAGTTTTTATTTTTGTAGACTAGATGTTTGCTAATGTTTCTAAATGAGATAATGTGACTGTACCTCGAGGTCCAGCAGCCCATCCTTCATTAGAATCTGCCTTCCTTTCTCCTCAAGCAGAGCTTTAGCATCAGGATATTCTGTCAGGGCTTCCATCAGGTCGTCTTTGGAAAGACAGAACAGGTCGGAGTAACCGATGCTTCTGATATTAGCTGTCCTCCTGTTTCCTGCCTTACTGCCTGTTGGAGAAGAAGCGAGACTGATTAGGTAACAGAAGCAGTCAGAAGGTAACAGCGCCCAATCCATCAATAACATTATATGGCATTTTAATTTTTTCCCAGTTTTCTGCAGAAACAAACGTACTTTTATTAAATATTAAACCAGTTTTGGCTCAATAGCAAAATCCATTCTAAAGTTTTGTACATATTTGGGAAAATCTTTTTAAATCTTTTTAAACAGTTCGTCCAAAGGTTTTGGTTTTCTAGCATTAGCACATTAACATTCTAGCATTAGC